TGTGTGTGTGTGTGTGTGTGTGTGTGTGTGTGTGTGTGTGTGTGTGTAGACCGTGGTGCTTTAGGGTTATCTTGTTACAGTACACTACAACAGACATGAGCATTACTGTTGACAACAGTGGTGGATGGAAGAAGTACTCAAAGATTAAAAAGTGTGCTATTTAAAAGCTGTGCCATGAATCAATTAATTTCCCTTAATTTCCTGAATCAGCTAACGCTATTCGTTCCAAGCCAGTCGACACTTGATTCCCCGGATCCAATCAATTTGAACAAGTCCGACAGCATCCAAACAAGTTGCAGGAGAGAACTGTGAGAAAATAACGTGAGTGCCGGTTGGCAAAAAAATTATAAAAGAAAAGATAATTTAGTTTGCGTACCTAAAAATATGCAGTGGTCAACAAAAGAAATTGCAGTATACAAAACATGCGGTTTCAAAATTACAGAAGCAGGCGCAAAATGACATTGCATTTATGGAAAAGTGCACTGTGACTTGTTTAGGACTCAAAACTCAAGGTTTAGGACTGAGCACTTGCCTGTCTTGACTTGGGACTTGATGTTGGACTTGCCTTAATTGACTTGGGACTTAATTCGGGACTTGCTGTCCTTACTTGCCTATCTTGACATGGAATTTGCCTGACTTGACTTGGGACTTGCCTGTCCTGACTCTAGACTTGACTCGTGACTTGCCTGTCTTGACTTGGGACTTGCCAGTCTTGACGTGGGACTTGCCTGACTTGACTCGTGACTTGCCTGTCTTGACTTGGGACTTGCCAGTCTTGACTTGGGACTTGCCTGTCTTGACTCGGGACTTGAGACTCGCCTGTTTTGACTTGGGACTTGATTCGGGACTTGTCTGTCTTTACTTGCCTGTCTTGACTCAGAACTTGCCTGTCTTGACACTTCACTTGCCTGTCTGGACTTGGGACTTGCCAGTCTTGACGTGGGACTTGCCTGACTTGACTCGTGACATGCCAGTCTTGACTTGGGACTTGCCTGTCTTGACTCGGGACTTGAGACTCGCCTGTTTTGACTTGGGACTTGATTCGGGTCTTGTCTGTCTTTACTTGCCTGTCTTGACTCAGAACTTGCCTGTCTTGACTCTTCACTTGCCTGTCTGGACTTGGGACTTGCCTGTCTTGACTTGGGACTTTACTCAGGACTTACCTGTCTTGACTTAGGACTGGACTCGTGACTTGTCTGTCTCGACTCGGGAATTGACTCTAGACTTGCCTGTCCTGACTCGGGACAACCACTTTTGCTTCTTTTTTACAATATGACAATGAAATCAGTCTGTTGAGTTCAATCACACAACCACAATATACAGCACTGACTTTTTTTGTATAGCTTTATACCTGTGTTCATTGCTTGTGTACTCTGAGCCCTTCTGGACTTAAACCAAACATTTACCTCTCTCTTGACTAAGGACTTGAGTGCAAAGACTTGAGACTTACTTGTGACTTGCAAAACAATGACTTGGTCCCACCTCTGGTAATTATTAGCTTAAGTTATGAAATAAATGTAGAGGAGTAAAAAGTACAATATTTGCCTCTGAATTATAGTGGAGTAGAAGTACAGAAAATGAAAATATTCAAGTAAAAAGTATACTCTGCATGAGAAAATGTACTTATTTACTTTCCACCACTAGCTATGTATATATATGTACACTATGTATCTGTATGTGTACACACACACATATAGGCTGAAAAAGTCTAACAGATGACTTATGCAAACTCCTCAGCATATTATATAGCCACTTCCTCCTTCCCTCTCTCTCTCTCTCTCTCTCTCTGTCTCTCAGGGCTTTAGTGGTAAGCTTAGGTAAGCTGATTATTCATCCAGTTTGGTTCGCCCATTCAGTATTTTGGGAACGATTCCGACTGCTTCCCCACCATTCTATATACACCAAAACACCCAAGACATGCTTGCGCTGTACCTTCGCCGGGGGCTTCCGCTGAGCTTGCTGCAAGCTGAGTATATGATGGAACAGGGGGCTCTGCAGGACAGTCTTCAGCAGGGAGAGTTTCTCCTGCGTGGGGGCCTCTCCTCGCTCCTTCAGTTTGGCTTGCAATCTCTCCACAGCCTCCAAGGCAAGCTGAGCATCTGCAGAGAAAGTGTATATCATTTTGTGTCATTCAGAAGCAGGATTTCTCCACATGCTGTAGCTGCTGCTGCTGCTGCTGCTGCTGCTGCTGTGGGACCCTGACACAGACCCGGACCTTTGATAATAAGCTGTGAAATGCCAGGGCTTAATTGGGAGCGACGGGGAAATATATTCTCAAGTCTTTCAACATGACTTTGCTAAAAAGTCTGTCTTTAGAATCCAGGATGACTTCCCATGTCAGCACTGTGATACGAATTGAAAAACAATCGTGTTTTTGGAGGCTGCTGGAGTGCGATTTCAAATGTCACATTACTCTCCCCTCAGTTCTCCTGGCAAAGTTACGAAAGTTTCGATCTGCAATTGTCGGGTCATTTGCAATGGGGCTTAACAAAAACTTTTATCAAGACACGTTGAGATCGTACTAGAGCCGGAATTCTGCAAAATTAAGAAAAGCAAAGGCAAACGGCTGAGGTGCTGCGTCAGGTCATATCACCCTTGTTTATTTGGTGGAGCGGGAGCTAATGAGCACAAGCCACACTTGCAGTAATTGTACCTGGCAGAAGGTTAAGACCCTGTAAACTCTTCACCGCCAAAGTTTTGACTACAAACCAGACTGCGAGTCCTGTGCCACCTGTGCGTGTCCCCCCCCCCTCTGGCTACAGCAAACCACGCCTGACACCTTAAATCGTAAGCCTCTGATGATGATGATGGCGGTGGCGGGCACCAAAGTTTACTGGAACGTGTTGGGCTTTAAACTGCATCTGCAGGGTCACCGAATGCGCGTACCCATGATTTCCATCGTGGCCTTGGTGGATTGTTGTGGGGAGGGGGTGGGGGGGGGTTGAATCGTGTCTTCGTGACTTTCCTGTTTCAGTTACATTCTTCTCTGCTTGGCACCTGCAACATGAACAACAACACACACACAAAAACAACGTATTTAATTAAAAGTGCCAAGGTGATTCTCATTATTATAATTATAGCAGGAAAAAAAAAGTCTCCCCACTTATGTGCAGAGGAATATTTTATATTTTTACATCTGTATCATTTCACCTCTACATCCTCTCTACCGAGGCCTGCTTGTTTGTGAGTGCCTTGCTTGTCAACTAATGCTCTTTAGCCGGATTTAAATCTTCTCCAAAGGGCTTTATCAGCCAGTGACGGTAATTAACAGCGACACACATTCCCCCTCCCGACCTTTCTGACTCGAGGGTGTGTGTGTGTGTGTGTGTGTGTGGGGGGGGGGGTAGCCTGTATAGCATCAAAGCATGATACCATTGACATGATTTGATTTGCTGAAGAAAAAAAACGATGGGCTGGAAATGACAACGTCTCATCTGAAATCAAATTAGGGGTTGGCATTGATAGGCAGTGAGGGTATGGCAGCACTTATATGCCCTTCACGGCGGCCTAATTAAATATATATCTAAATACCTGTTGATGTTAATAAAGCGATGGCGTCAGAATGATACAAATAAAAAAAAGCAATACAAATGAATGATTTACAGTAATTGGGCCCATTAGGCAGTAATTTGATATGTAATCAACAAGGTGGTCAGTTAATTTCTTTAAAAATGACCCAGGCGCATTAGAGCCATCACCGTGACGAACAGACGGACAGTTCAGAAGCGCCCTATTGCAGAAAGCCTCCTCTCACCTCCATTGCAGCGCCGGTGGGCTCTATATCAACAGGTCCGCTCCCCGAGCGCAGCGCGTCCAGCACCTCCTCCGCCGGTCCGCGGGGTGTAAATTTACCTGCGGCGTGTACCGAGGAGGACGCTTCGCCGATGGTACAGGTCATAACAGCTTATTGGGAGACAGTAAGACATCGAGAAGCACGCTGCGCGCTTTGTTTTTTCACCCCCAGCATTTGTGCGTCCTGCGGCTTGGGAGAGCGCTCCACGCAGTGCGCATGTCACCCCTGTGATCTTCAGGCATCGTGGCTCATTCCCACTATAGCCCGCAGTAATCCTGCTACGGCATTTCAGTGGGCTGAAATACTTTGTGAATATTATTACATAGTGATATCTTATGTATATCATTGTATTTGTATAATATTGTATATTTTTACCATTATAGGTGGAGGCTTCAAATAAACCCAGTGTCTTTTCTGAATTTTTACCGGGATATCATTTATCTCCGTTATGTTTGTGTATTTTAGAATTCTGCAAATAAACTTAACTAAAATATGAATATTGGACTCCAAACTCATAAAGGCCTACACAGGCCCTGTCCAACACCTCCATATATCAACTTTCCAAAGAATGAAGTCAAAACGTCGTAATACGATTGCCAATACCCGGAGCTACACGGTTGCTATGGAAGGATATTACGCACATTGATTTAATGTTACATGTAATTGATTCATTATGATTTACGTATATGCCCTGGATGGATTACACACATTGTTTTCTTGATTTTACCTCTAATTTCTGGCTTTTTTAACCCTATACTAAGACCTGCAGAATGAGTTGCAGGATGTCACCAATTTGACTTCTGTTCCTCTGTATTTTGAAGAGAATGTGACAATGATTGGAACTATTGCCGTTGTCACCAGACAGGCACAATTACGCAATCACACACCAAGTCGGGTCTCCTTGAGTCACTGTCATATCCGGCGGTGGGTCTAAATGGGGTGGGTCTAAAAAAATGTAAAACCGTGAAACGTTTGGGAACCCCTGTGCGCTTTCACACTGCAGGTGGAGCCCTTGCTCCAGAGATTTAAGGAGCCAGATCCAGTTCCATGTTTTCCAGCACACACCCCCAATTCGTCTCTCGCCCCCCCGCCTCCTCGTCCTCGGCTCCCCGCCCGCCTGCAACGCAACGCTCCTTTCGCCGGGCTGCGCTCGATCAACCGAGCATCCACCGCGCCTCCAAATTGGTTTGTTATTTCTGACCCCTCTCTCTCTCCCTCACTGTGTGTGTGCGTGTAAGTGCATGTGTGTGTGTGTGTGTGTGTGTGTGTGTGTGTGTGTGTGTGTGTGTGTGTGTGTTTGTTGACCACGGTCCTCTGCTCCGCTGCGCTCCACTGCGCTCCGCGCCTGTGGACTTCAGCTGAAGTCAGTAAGAACATAAAGGCAGCCGCGGAAGATAAAGAGAGAAAGAAAGGGGAGGGAGGGAGTACGGGACACAGACAGACGGAGAGAGAGAGAGAGACAGAGAGTGTGTGAGAGAGAGAGAGAGAGAGAGAGAGAGAGAGAGAGAGAGAGAGAGAG